CGGCCAAAGCAGCGCTCATCCACGCCTTTTTCAAGATGCCGACGATTCACACCGCAAGTCCGCTCGACATCCTATCGTGGCAGCCACCTATTCGAGGCTTGTCGACTCGCACGCTCTCTCGTGACGACCTCTTCTTCCCAAAATCCTTCCACAAGGGGGTCGTCATTACGCCGATTAAAGTTCCCACTCGGCGGATTACTCGAAAAACCTCGATGGAGCGCGACGACTCGTGGGGCCGTGTCGAAAGTGGTGCTGGAGCGGCGATTCGTGAAGCGGATGCGCTGGCGAAAGCCAAAGAGGTCGAGTTGAACGCGACGACCGCGCCCGACGCTGCCGCTCTGTTTGATCTTGGACCCGTTCGACCCAGCTCGCTCAAGTCAAAGCTTCCTGTCGGTTCGAGCATCGCGTTCTACCGCCCAGGAACTTCGTCGCCGAGCGAGGTGGTCACCGCCGCTCCTGAGGAGAAAGCTGTTTCGTCGGAGACGTCGGGGCCGTTCATGGTGACGAAGGAGCTTGATGGGGAGGTCGTCGAGATGACGCCGAAAAAGTCGCTAGCTGCGCCAGGAGACGATGGTCGCACGACGCCGTCAAACGTGAGTTTTGACTTCAGTCCGACCCTTCGAGTTGAACTAACGGTTCTCCGCTTGTCTTTCCAGGAGGTCGCGTCAACTCCGTTCGACAACCTCGACGTTCCTACTCCAAGCCAAAGCCAGACCTTGGCTCCTCCTTCACCTGGATCGTGGTCAGCCAAGTCGCCTCTCGGTCTTTCCGTCCTCAACCCCGCTGCTCCTTCCGTCTGGGCTCCCGCCGCGACCGACGCTCCCGTGCACAGTCGTTCGATCAGTCTCAGTGGTGCGAAGCCGGAGAATTCGCTGCAGGGCATCATCGACCCTGACGACTTCCCCGCCGCCGCGATCCCGTCGTCTGTGGCCGATCTCAAGTCAGAGGACGAGGGCTCGACGGAGGAGGGCAAGCACGATGATCTCAAGGCCCCATCCAAGGACCATGCTCGCCTTCGAGCCGCAGCTCCATCGTTCTCGTCCTACCAGGAGGCTCAGTCGCTGCCAGCGTCGCTCTACTCTTCAAGGCTCCCAACCGTCTCCCGTGAGCTGCCTCCTCCAGCACCCCTTCCATCGAGCTTCTCCCAGCCCTTCCTCTCCCCCAACGTGCCTTCGAACCTTCAAGGATCGCAGTACGGCCAGTCCCAGCAGTACCCGTCCTTTTCCATGCCTCCTCAGACCATGAGCGGCTACACGAACCCGATGCAGGCCCAACACCAGGGCTACCCGCAATCGCTCTTCAACTCTCCCCTTTCGCCTACTCCTCAACCGCTCTTCCCCAGCTACCGTCCTGCCGCACCGGGAATCACCAACCCCGCCCTCATCGCCAACTACGGCTACGGCGCGATCGGTGGCAGTGGAAACGCCTACGGCGCCGTCGGCGGCAACACGCACAACCGAGGAGGCTACCACCAGCAGTCTCCCTACCTCGCCCCTCAGCAGACGCCGTACCGCATCGCGGACCAGTTCGGAGACGCTCGCCAGCAGGCGTACTCTGGCTATTCGACCGGCGTCGCTTCGCCAGCGCCGCCGCACCACCCGCACTCACCGTACCCGACTCACCCTCAATCGTACAATGGAGCGTTCAGCCCGCCGGTGCAGAATATGCCGGGAGTGATTGGGAGGGGAGGACGAAGGCAGTTCTAGTAGTCTATTATTAAAAAGCCTTGAGACGTCGATCTCGTTATGAATGAAGCCCTACAGTTTACTTCTTCCATACGTGTTGCGAGAAAGTCTTGAGAGTTTGACGACGTGTGTCGTCTCCTGTACTTTAATCCATGATCACCCACTTATGGAGACTCGTAAATCTGAGCTTGTTGCGCAGGTTGGAGCATGCAGGTTCACGAGGAACCGCAAGGCAGCAGGGCAGAACCCTCGAAAACGCTCGAGGGTCAGGAAACGCTTAGGGTCACGTGACACGGTTGCGCTGTAAAGGTCGACGTATTCGACTCTTCGTGCTATGACTGATATCCTTGGAGCCGTTCTTGAGCCGAGGGAGACCGTACTTTCGGAGCTGACATTGGAAAAGCGGCGTAGAGCGAAGATGTGGTAGAAACAACACGATTGGCACCACTTCAAACCAAAGAAACTAATCCTGCTCAACCTCAATCATCACCGTCTCCTCCTTCCACCCGACCCTATCGTCATCACAACACTCCAAGAAACAACTGAACACCATGACCGTCGCGAAATCCAATGCCGTCTCGCCCTCAAGCTCCTTCAATCCACCCGCTCCGGCAGCAGCAGCAGCCTTCCCCTTCTCAGCTCCTCCGCTCTTTTTCGCGGCGAGCTTGTTAACGACTCCGACCAACCCCGGCATGAGCTGAAGCTCGTACACGCTTTCCTCGCCGCAGTGCTTGCACCGAGGGACGCGGGTCTGGTCGTACTTGCCGACGCCTTCAACATCCTCTCCCTCGACGCTAAAGATCTTCTTGAAGAAGGAAGTTTTGGCGGAGAAGGGAAGAGGGGTTCCACAGTGCTCGTATCTGTGCGCGAGAAGAAACACGTCAGCGCTCTTGTGAGCAGGCATGGATCGGGAAAGCGCAACGAACCTCAGCACCTGGTTCCCACCACCCCTCACGACCCTCTCTTGGAACTTCAAGAACACCTCATCCACCCCCGCAAGCTTCTGCACCTCGTACCCTTCCTTGCCCCAGCCGTCTCCTCCTTCAGCACCTCCGGACGTCGACGACGACGCGCGGCCGCCCGACCCTTTCCCTTCCCTGTGCTTCCCCTCGTCGAGATGACCCAGTCCATCATCAAGGCGTTTCGCTCCTTTTGATTTCGAAGAAGAGGCGGCGGGTGCGGCGGGCTCATAAGCCGTCGTGAGGTACTGAGGAGGGAAGGAGGGATGGGACGAAGGCCAGACGACGGGCGTCGGTGCGGCTTCGAGGATTGTAGTAGGTTCGGAAACGGTGGAAGGAAGGAAGGACGAGTCGAAGGGCGGCGAGTCGGGGATTGGGGGAGGGGAGGAGAGCGACATGGAGGCGAGGAGGGAGCTCATCGCTGATGACTTGGAGGCAGCGGGGGAGGGCGCCGAAGGACTGGGAATGGTAGAAGGGGGCGAAGGGGCTGGGGTAACAAATGGGTTGGCTGGTGTCGCCGCCGCCGCTGGAGCGGGAGGGAGGAACGGGTTGGCCGCCGCGAAGGGGTTTGCGCTGGCGGCAGGCGTTGGAACGGGACCAAAGGGATTTGACGAGGCCGCCGCGAACGGATTCAGGGACGTAGATGATGTTGAGAATGGGTTCGCATTGACAGCACTGCTGTCGCCAGCGAAGAGACCTCCAGCGGAATGACCCGCGCCCGCCGGTACTCCCCCTCCGAAGATGAGGTTTCCCAATCCTCCCCCTCCTCCCGCCTTTGACACTGGCGCCTTGCTCTCCTCCTTCTCCTCCTCCTGCTCTTCGTCAACGACCTCACCCAGCCAGCTCGCTCTCCACGCCCTCACGCTGCCATCCTTGCCGCGACAGTCGCTCGCGGTGCACGCCCAGACGTAGACGACTCGCTCGAGCTCCGAGTCCTCGAACGGGCAGTACACCTGCACCAGTAGCGGCGTCTCCTTCCCGCAAAGCGTGCAGTGAGATGCTGACGGCTCGGGCTTGATGGCGGCTGGCGGAAAGACCTGGACGCGCGCAAGGGTAAATTTTCCTCCTGGTCAGCGACGGTCCTCGCGTTTGACAGTCAAGGACATGAACGAACAGGTAGGCCACCAATCTTGGAATCCCTGAAAGTGAGCGTCGAAGTCGAGGCGACAGGGCCGTCCGGGTAGGCGAGGATGGTGTAGGGCAGCGCGGTCGAGGTGGTCGAAACGGTGTCGTCGTCGTCCGAGTCGGGGTACTGCGATGCCGTCGAGTAGCTAGGCAATGTCGGTGCCATGTTGTCGTCGTTCTTCTGCCTCTGCGAGCACCTATTCGTTTCCGAACAACGGAGGAAGGAAGCGAAGAAAAGTCAGCGCTCTGTCGCTCGCGTTCATGGGTGATGGAGTTGTAGCAATCCAGGCAGCAGACACAAAGAAGTATATAGTGTCATTAATTGTTAGGTAGCCTGATCGTATCCCTTCAAGAATGGGGGTCAGCTTCTCCCCGCGCAGGGGAGGGCCACCGCCCCCTCGGACTCGTCATCAGTTGGTGTAATCCTTTAGATACTATTTGTGTCTGCTGCCAGTCGTCGTGTCCTCCCAAACTTCCATCATCACGAGCAGGGAGCGAGACTTACGAGTTGGCGACAGGGTGGGGAAGGGAACCAAGGGACGCGAGGCAAGTTTTCACGAAGTCGAACGCCCGTCAACGGACACAGCCGCGCGATCCTTTGATACGTGGCCAGCTCAACGTCGATGACAATGTTGTGAGCCTAGAACTGGCCAGCGTTGACAGCAAGTTAATTTTTGTCCTGAATCCCCCTAACCTACGGTCTGCTCCCTTCGTTTCAGAGTCCTCTGCAAGACGACTTTGGCCAGCTATGGAGTGCAGAACGTGGCTTCGGCCGACAGTCATACTAGAAAGCCATACTTCGTCAATCAAAACTCACCGACTTGTCTTTCCCACCGAATTGAAGTGAGAGTGGACGCCGTCTCTGCTCTCAGTCTCGTCCTTTCGACCGCACCGCCTCCTTCCGGAGCCAAGTCTTTTTGTGTGCCGCTTCTCCGCTTTCGTCTCTTGCAAAAATGCTTTGATGTACAGTGTACAAGGCTTTTACTATGCATGTGCATCCAAGATGTTTGGTTTGCCGACTCCACACCCTTATCCCATGGCACTATACACAGCGGGGGCGTTCTTCTCGCGCGCGCGGTCTAACCGCAAATGCATTTTTGTATCTTTTTCTTGTACCTAACACCTCATCAAAAGGGCTCCATAAGGAAGAGAAGGGGCACAGGGCTAAATTCGGCCATTTTTGACCGTAAACCAACTGTATGACAAAAAACACCCGGGTGGTCACGTGACCGTTTCGATGGCCCAGTGGTAGAGCGTGAGATTGCAATATTCTATCAAAATTTGCTATATATCTCAAGGTCCCGGGTTCGATCCCCGGTCGGAACTGATTTTTTCTTGTTCTACTCTTGCGACAACGCGCGGGCGCACCGCCCTAGGCCTGCTTTTTACGTTCGTGCTGATCGTGAAAGGCAAAGAATAGGCCAAATTGGTGCAGAAGGGAAGTATGGGACGCCTGTTTCTCTTTTTTTAGGCAAGAACTTTGAATAGAGGGGCATTATGGTGCAGAAAGGAGGCGCGAAGGTCAACAAACCTCGCGCACCCACGTGTCTCCTCCGACTAGCCCACAATCCTCACCCAGCGGTTCGGCTTCAAGGGCGCGACGCCGTACGACCGATACATTGGATTGTGAAGGGGTGGAAGAGGTGGATATAAAGGAGAAAGGGAGGAATGGTCCGAAGGGGAAGGGGAGGTTGAGGATGGGAACGAAGGGCGGAGGCTTAGGTAAGGGTTTGTGAGGGCAAGGCGATTTCCGTTCACTGTCTTGTAAGAGCAACATGATGAAAATGTGTTCTCATTGTATGATATCAACAGAGGTAATGAACCGCAATGTACGCCGTCACTTCCCGTCCTGCCCCGGGTTAAGCACCACCAATGCGCGGAACGACAACGCAGGCGGTCCCGCCACCGATGTCGGTTTCTTCAACAACCTGTCCTCCTCCTCTTTCACCGTTCGTGGCCCAGCACCAGGATCCCTCCTGCTCCGTTTCGCGGAACCTTGAAGCACCTCGTGTTGGCGATGGAGGAAACGGAGGACATTCATCCCCTTTCGAGATATCAGCTATTTCATCAACAGGGTGACTGAGCTTGGACTGGTATCAACGTAAGGTGAAGGCGTGACGCTGCACCAGCGTCCCTCGCCGCGCAACAGCGAGCTCAGACGAATGATCCACCCGGCAAAGCTTGGAACTTCCTTGAAAAACATAGCTGTATGACAGAAGAACGAATCCAAAGACTGCGTTGAAGCGGATCGAAGAAGGCGCGAAGAGGGGGGGAATCAACGAAACGAGAAAACTAGCGAGGTGGTTCTTGAAAAACTGAGAGGGGTGTAGAACATCTAGTAAAAAACGAGTGGGGCATTGTATGTGTAGAGTGTAGAGTTTTTTGTTGTTGTGTGTATCTGCAAAGCGAACGAAGGAGAGGCGAGGTCCGTCTGGCGGGCGTTTACTCGGAAACACCCCTGCCGATGGTCTCGACCTTGAAGCCGATCTTGGTGAGCTTCGCGGAGTCGAGGATAAGTCGTCCCTGTGGAAGAAATCAGAGTGTCAATAGTGGTGTTCTGTAGGTGTAAATAGATGAGGACGAACATCGAACACGAAAGCGGGCTTCTTCATCGAGTCGTAGATCGCCTGCCAGTCGAGGGTCTTGAACTCGTCCCACTGCGAAGCCCTTCGACGTCAACAACATACTCTGCCAAGGTGAACGGAAAGAGACGTACCTCGGTCGCAACAACGATACCCTCAGCGCCAAGGCAAGCCTCCATCGCCGACTTGCAGACGGTGACCTGCTTCTTGACTGCAATCGCGCACGTCCGCCACGTCAGCACCGCTCACCTTCAGCTAGAAGACGAAATTAACGGACCAGCAGCAGAGTCATCAACGACACCAGGCTCGGTCAAGTCCATCCAGATCTGGTTCTCGGGAACCTTAGGGTCGTAGATCGACACCTGAGCGTTCTCGGCGCGGAAGTGCTTGGTGAGAGTGATGGCGGGCGATTCACGCGTGTCTCCGGTGTCCTAAAATCATTGCTCCAAGGTTAGCCACTGGGAAGAGCTGATCTTGTACTAAGAAGAGTGAACGTACCTTCTTGAAGGCGAAACCGAGGACGGCGATCTTCTTGTTGGTGATGGTGTTGAAGAGGGAGGTGACGACGCGCTGAGAGAAACGGCGCTTCTGGTACTCGTTCATGGTGGTGACCTGTTTCCAATCACGCATGAGCTCACCATTTTTTAATGGCTCGAAGGGAATGAGAAACAAAGACGCACCTGGCGCCAGTAGTCGGCGACCTCGGGAAGGTGGAGCGACTCGGAAAGGTAGACGAGGTTGAGGAGATCCTTCTGGAAGCACGACTACAGTCCCCGAGAATCAATCCATAGTCAGTCCCTTTGCCTCACTACGATAACGGAAGGCTAAAGCTTACACCACCGAAACCGACGGACGCCTTGAGGAACTTGGGACCGATCCTGGTGTCGGTGCCGCAAGCGAAAGCGACCTCGTCGACGTCGGCACCGGTAGCCTCACAGATGGCGGAAAGAGCGTTGATGGAGGAGATCCTCTGGGCGAGGAGGGCGTTGGCGGCCTGTTGATCCAAGACGCACCGCGTGTCAGCTACCCTTTTCCCTCGCAAAACCAACCAAAGAACGGAAAGAAAGGACGCACGAGCTTCGACAACTCCGAACTCCAGAGACCAGTGGTGATGCACTTCTCCCTCGGGACCCAGTTGGCATACACGTTGACGAGAGCCTCCCTGGCAGCGACGGCCTCTGGCGATCCAAGCGATCCAATCAAGACACGGTCGGGCTTGTCGAGGTCCTTCATGGCGGTACCCTCAGCGAGGAACTCGGGGTTGGAGAGGATATCGAAGCGGAGTCCAGGGCGCGAGTTGGCCTCGAGGATGGTGCGCATGGAAGACGCGGTGCGGGAGGGGACGGTAGACTTCTCGACGACGATCTTGGACGAGGTGGCGACCGAGGCGATGCGACGGGTGCAGGCTTCAATGTAGCTGGAGGGAAATGGTACGGAAAGTCAGCTTGAGGGAAGGAAGGGGGTGGATGGAAGGACGGGGTACTAACAAAAGATCGGCGGCGTAACCAGCTCCGACACCGGACTTCTTGGTGGGGGTGTTGACACTGACGAAGATAAGGTCGGCCTCCTTGATGGCCTTGTCGATGTCGGTGTCGAAGAACAAGTTCTTGCCCCTCCTCCTGAAGACGACCTCCTCCAACCCGGGCTCGTAGATGGGCAGCTTGTCCGAGTTCCACGCGTTGATGCGCGCCTCGTTGATGTCGACGATGGTGACGATGATGTGAGGGCACTTGTCGGCAATCATCGTGCAGGCTGTTTCATCGCACAAGCGCGAGCAAGCACGGAAACGGGGAGGGTTAGCTCGTCTGGGGACGCGTCGGAGAGGTCGCAGTACAAGTGGCTTTTTGGGGTCGCGACAAGGAGTGGTCGGGACGACGGATGGAGCATCGTGTGAGGTGTGCAGCACCGTGTGAGCTCCTCCCATGCCTCCTCCTCAATTCTCTCACCATGTTCGCCCCGTCCAGCAGCTCCCGTGCCCCCCATCTGCACGTGCCTCCTCCCTCATGACTGGTGCGACCTGGCAGCATCCTACCACGCCCCGCGCAAACCCGACAAAGGCAAGCTCAAACACTCACTGGGACCACCGACATATCCAGCACCAATACAAGTGATACGTTTCTGTTATCGCGCGAGGCGCAGAGAGAAACGGGCGGCGCCCCAACGAGTCGTCTCGTCAGCAATCGCGGTCGCGCGCGCTCGAGCCCTCGACACGGAGGAGCGACGACGGGAGGCAGCAGCAGGGAGGAGCACTCACGACCTCGATGGGGGTGATCTGGGTGCCGTTCGTAGCCATCTTGACGGGTCGTGCGAGGGAGGAGGAGGGAGGGAAGGAGCGGGAGGACGGGGAGCTGTGGATGGAAGGGATCGAAGGTGAGCTCGACAAGTTGCGGCTTGGGCCACGGCGCGTCGAAGACTTGGGATTCGGGGGCGTGTCTCGACGGGAGCACGAGTGTAGATACTTACGGGAGGTCGGGGTGAGAAAAGTAGTGGAAGTTGTGGGAATAGGTGAGAAAGAGAGAGCAGCTCAAAGGCGCACAACGGCAGGCGACCGATCGCTGGGACACGTTCCCGCTTGTGCCCGGCGCGTCGCGCACGGCTCCCGCCCCTGGCCTCTCCTCCCCAAGCTGGCAACTTTTTTCTAGCATTTCTGCTCGCTGCCATGAATTGTGGTAAATAGGTGCAATAAATACACTTGTTCCAATATATTCTCAGCTTTATTCTCTCGTAATGCCTTCATCTGCCACCGTAGGAGGCTCTCTCGCACCTCAAGCGCGCGCGGAAATAAGTGTCGGCGTGTCTCACCTTCGGTTTGAGGGGTCTTGCGTTCCTTCACGCCATCAGCTCTACCTGATGAACACAGAACAGATCGCACATACTCTTCCGAAGTTTTCCGCGAGAAGGTGAGAGCTTCAAACGACAGGCAAAAACACGTGGCAATGGCTGCTTCCAGTGACCCACTGCCGTGGGTCTGCGTTGAAGAAAGGGAAACAGATTTTGTCGTTGCCCCCATTATTCTCACAGCCGTCTCTCTTATTGTAGAGCGTCCTTTCCCTTCCAAGTCAAGGGATAGCTCTCCTTTTCAGAAGTGACTGCTCGTGCAATGTGCGTAGTTGTAAAAAGAGCTAGACCAGTCTTGTTGCCTTCAAACCTTGAGGAAGAATTATCGACTCCTTCAAACCTTCTATGGTCTACACTCAGTGTTTACTAAAGTTTCGAAAAGTATTCAGCTCAGCCTGCTGAGTTCATTTGAAGCCACCAACACTCACAGCATCCTCGTGAACGCTCGCTCGTACTGCACTGGAGGCTTTACGGCGACATCCAGCTCTTGGGCCCAGTTGAACACACAGTTCGGGTCCCTCAAGAACTCTCGAGCGACCGAGATCTGTCGGAAATCTGGTAAGATTCTGCTTTGATGGCCAGGAAGAGAGCAAGAGACGAACCACGTCCGCCTTTCCCGCTTGAAGGATCTCCTCGGCCTGCTTGCCGGAGGTGATGAGTCCGACACTGGCAGGTAAAGCAAGTCAGTTTCACGGCCTCGGCAGAAAGACGAATGCCTGATGCGAACCTCGAAATAGGAATCCTCTCCTCGTCACTCAGCGAAGCCCTCAGCTTCTCGGCGAACGGCACCTGCACCACATCAACGACACCATCAGCAACCTCTTCCTCTCTTCCTCTACTTCAATCCATGAAGAGAAAAACTGGGACCAACCTGGTACCCAGGCCCGACCGTAATCTTCTGGTTCA